TCCAGACACTTACAGGCACACATAGATACTTACAGGGACAGACAAACACACACACACACACACGACTAGAGCGCGACAACACGCATTTTGTGCAGCTGTTCCACAGCACAAAACGCATAAAATACAAAATCGTCTAGATCTGAGTTTGTGCTTGGCACGTTCTGGGGGATGCTTTTTAGTGTTATATTTCATTCTTAAGAATGCATTTTGGTGCTTTTATTCAGTACGGCTACCGCACTTTATGGGCAAAACTACTTATTGTCATGACGCTTGAAAGAAGGGCACTGCAGTAAACAAATAAGTGTGACCATTGCCTTGAAGAATCTGCGCGCAGGACATAAAGTCACAAGCAAGGAAAAACAACTGAACTGCAATTGCAAATATTTAACAATGTTTACAGACATCACCCTGAAAAGCTTTTTGGGCGTGTGAAATAAGTGAGTGTGTTTAAGTTTGAATAACCGTATTCGAGGTTCGCCGCAGCTTCCGCTGAAAATAAAAAACACAAAGATAAAACTCTAAACGTGGATTTATTTTACGAATTTACATGCGAAGGAGTATTGAAGGACAACCTCAAAAGTTTTAACCATTCTGGAAAACGCAGGGAGGACAGGGGCTGAGGATGATAGCGAATGCGGTATAACTGGCCACACAGCTGTGAAGAACATAAGCAGAAAATTTTGCAGGAATCTGTTCCATGCAATATTGAATTCATGTAAATTTGCTTTATAAGCACTCAGGCTGTCATGCGCCAGACTTGCCGCCGCGATCACGCGTTTTGGCACTAAACTTGCAACAGCCATGAACGCCAGGCCTTTCGGTCCTTTTCTGCATACTTCCTTGTTAGTATCCACCGCCTATTCGATGAATTTGTGCCATTCTCTGGAGGCTGTCCGAACGACCCTTTATTTTCTCAACAAGTTAAATGAATTAAAAATTAATTTTTTTAAATGGTTTTTTGTTAAAAACATAAAAAAATGTGATATCAATTATTATTACATAGTATTAACCTGAAAAATAAGAATAGTAATAATAGTAAAAGAATAAGTAAAGTCCAATCTACGATAGGAAAGCTAAAACGGGAAAGTGATGAATGGGAAGGGAGACTCGAACCCTTGTTGGAGATAGGATCTCCTGCTGGGAACAACGCGTTCCGTCATTTTAGCTGGAATGTTATTGGTCGTGGATCAGTGAGGAACTTTAGGGCCAACGGCCCTATCCAGACAAGACGATTGCGCCTTTACAATGTTAATAAGATTTGCCTGAGGATAAACTAGAACTAGCGACAAATATAAAGATACCATGAAAAAAGAATGAAAGACTTTTTTGTCAAGTGAAGCGATCAGTAGGTTTACGTAAAGTATAATAGTATTAAATTAAATAATCGCTTACGGTCGTGTCCGTTAAAAATGCTTTTGCAGCAAGTGCTTGTTAGATGTGATAGAATTGCTAAATCATGTATCTTAAATTGTCACCATTACTGAATTATGAAGTTACGGTAGATTTCGGTCGAAGAGAAACAGGACGGCAAATTAAATGATGAAACGCAGAAAAAGGCCAGTGCGATATTGTGCTGTTGTGATGAACTTTTATGGAAATATGGTAGGTGAATGTACTAGTAAACAAAGAAAGCGAACGATTTGCACCTTGTTTACTTCGCCTCGAACAATAACCTCTTAACTTTACAATCGCAGCTTCACTTGTTCCCCGATTATGAAGATTCTTTTCATCCTTTGACTTGTGCAGCTTTTTTTGTTTTCCAGTTCTACAAACGGAAGGAATTTAGGCCTGGGCTCACTGAGCACAATACATCGAGATTTGAAATTATTTATTATGAATATAACCAATTGTGCCACAGATCAACACACAGAAATGCACTAGTAATGTAGGAATAAACAGTGGAAACTTCGAACTTCAAAGCACAAGAACTAGCCGGAAAGGAGCAACAGATCAAGAAAAAAAGCGCGCTGTTGAAAAATTTTTAGTAAAATGTGCCATGTGCAAAACTGAAAACACGCTGTTGGGCTAGAAACGTAATACCTTTTGCTGTTATATTTTCAAAAGATCAGTACTCACGTTTGAGGAGATGGAACGAATGTCAGAATCGCCTCAAGGCTGGCCACTAAACGCAGCATCAGTGGTAGTCAAAGCAACTGGAAGAGCTGTCAGCTGTGCAACTATGAATTAATAGCTGAAATGTGATCAAGCTTTGAATTAATAGCTGTTCTAAATTGTTTCAAAATTAAATTCAATAGCAAATTAGAGTTGATCTTATGCAATTACTGCATATCCTAGCTTATCTTGGCATTGTTCTAAAAAATACCTAGATTACTTCTAACGTTATCTTATAATACCTAGACTAATTCTGATATAAAATTGGCGTTCCGCAAAGTTTGCATGCTTTTCGAAATTTTTGGGATTCCAGAATATTTGGGCATCAATACATCAGAGCAGCTCTGTGCGTTCCGGCTTTTGTAAAAACATTCCAAAGTGCAGTTTCTGAAAGCCAGCTCGAGATTTTTTTGAAAACTAAATAAAGTTTTTTGGTGGTTCATTTGTCTCAGTCCGAGAAACTTCAGAAACACTTTTTCGAGGGATCAGTGTTCGCCAGGTGTACAAAGAGATTAGAATGGAATATAATCTATGAATCCCAAAAATTTCGATATTTCGTCTTTTTATATCATTGATCCAGTACACTGTTTCAGAGTGTGGTGCAGAATGAACGTAGCAGTTTACAGATTGCTTCCTAAAACTTTTGACTGTAGAATTTTGCTGCACTTTGAGAATTTCCCGTGTCGTCCAATATGATGGTAGCAGCAGGCTTCTGTTGTTTACTCTTGGTTCATACAGTTACATCGGCAATACCAATTCCGTGAGGACCAACAACGCCGCCACCACTGTCAGTGCCCAAGAAGCATTCTTCGAATTCTCAAAATCCGAACAATAGAAACCAGAACAACAATTCATATGACAATGATCAGAACAATAACAAGGACCAAAACGGCAACTTCAAAACTGCTTAAAAAATATGCTTCTAAAAATATCGTATAGTTATATAATTGATAAAGAATTTGTTACGAATGTTTAGTCTTTGCTCTAGATATCCTTGTATGCAAATTGACCCCGGCAGTGCCTACAAGAATCAAAGCCAGCGTTTCTGAAAAGATCCTAATCCTATTAATCTTAATTTCCGCATAATTTAACGCCACTTTATGCGTTTTTAAATTTTTAATAACTTGGATGGCCATAAAAAAAGTAATTTTAAATAGTTTCTTCAGTAACAGACAAGTGGATAAATATAAGGGAACATGGAAAAAAGTAGGCAGAAAAAGGGTAACACAGGTAGTAAAAGTACTCGTACGCAATATATTTTGATATATGCCTTTTACAAAGTTTTATAAAGAGTGTATAAGTTAGGATGAGAACGTCTCGGCCCGTCTTACTGATGCCGCAACAATGACTACAACAGGAATTAAGATCCTGATATAATTTTGCCACGATTGCCGTATCTGTCGGTTGAAATTCCGTTGTTCACCTGCACCGCGTGAATTCACCATGGGTTTGCTAGTAAATAACTCTTGGACGAAAGAACCATTGGCTGCCTTGCTAGCAGATAGTTGCTGCTGGCATTTGCCACCACACCGAACCTCCGTCTTCCACAAAGAACAACTGTGGGGGAAATTTGAGTCTGACTTACTTTGTGTTGGATATGTGAAAAAATTTACTGCATTATGAACTACAAATGAAAAGGCACAATTTATGAATTATGGGTGCACAATAAATATTCTTTTCGAATCATGCATCGAAGCTTCAGCTGTGCATAAACATATTGCGATCTGTGGCACTTCAATTTTTAGTTCGTTTTCGGCCGATTGCGCATCATTTCCATTATACAATGAAGAAGTGGAAAAGCAGGAAGTGAAGTCTTGCTGAAAAATACATA